ACACTGAAAAACAGGGAAGTGTCATCAGGAAAGGCTATCACTGGCTGCAGAGCCACATGGCATTGAAGCACTGTCCACCCAGGTCTGCAGAGAGGCATAAACATAGGACTCAGAGACCTTGGCTTCAATCCCAGCCTCAGGCTTGAGGCTTTGCAATTAACTCTTCCCCCCTCTGACAAGCTTTATCTGCTGAGAATCATTTACCATTTTCCTTTAAGAAGTTCACCTTGGCCATCCTTCCACTGCCTATTACCCAGTGATATATCATTTACTTAAGAATTGGACTCTGGGTCCCTTCCCGTTCAGAATAGACTGTGAATCTGTGATATCCTCGACGTCCCTCTAGACCATCTCCCAAAGCTGATTGTGAATTTGGTACAGCCTCCGAGTTTTTAGAGTGCCAGGAGAGACTCCACTCAATCTGTACTGAGTGCCTGGTGGTGGTGCTGGTGACTAGAGACCTTTCAGTATTCCCCTCCCACTCCTCATCTCTCCCTGGAAATTTGACATGAGGCATCCCTGTTTAATAAGCACAAAGATGAAGCTTCTCAGTCCCAAACTTCTTCCAGGAGAAGCACACACACAGCATGAAAGGAGGCCACAACATCAGACACCAACCTGTCCACTTCCCCTGGTCACTTTCCCCTCACTTCTTGTAGCCTCCCCTGGAGGGCTTCTTCTCAAAAGGCTTCTGGAGAGACTGGAAGGTCACATGGAGGAAAACCTGTTGCCGTGAGAGACCAGCTCCGGGCGGGCGCCGGCGGGACACAGCAAGACGGGGGGAGAGGCGGCGCCGCTTTTCCCCTTCAACTCTGCGAGGCTCAGTTCTAGCGCGGGAACAGACGAGAGGGCGAAATGGGGCTCGGGTGCAAACACGTGTTTATTGTGGGAGCGTGTTCCCAAGACACCGGGACACCGACCCCGCGGGTTGGTTATACCCCGTGCCGGGGACGGGGGGGGACCTGAGGCACGGCCAGTGCGTATGGGAGGCAGAGGACAGGGGCAGGGAAACCCCCGGGACAGCAACGGGAAATGCT